CAGGAGCGGCCACTGCACTCTAGTCTGGGCGACAGAGTGAGACTCCAACTCAAAAAAACAAACAAACCAAAAAAAGAGCACGTGGCCACTCCAGAGTCTGGCAAGGCAATGGCCTAACACTGCCTTTGAGTAGTAAGGTAGAGACAATCCAAAAACAAATTCACTTTATTTTTCTGACAGTGTAGTAATGGTCATTGATTGATTTGAGAACACAAACTTAATAGAGTGAACTTTATTTTACTTATTTTTTTGAGTTGGGTGTCTTACTCTGTCACCCAGGCTGGAGTGCAGTGGCACAATCATGGCTCACCACAGCCTCAACCACCGGGGCTCAGGTAATCCTTCCGCCTCAGCCTCCCAAGTAGCTGTGACTACAGGCACAGGCATGTGCCACCATGCCAAGCTATTTGCCTTGTACCTCTTAATCATCTCTAAACTGGAAATTTGAAGTATTCCAATTAGCATTTCCTTTGAGTGTCACCTTTGAGCATCATATCAGCACTCGAAAATTTCAGATTATGGAGCCGTTTATATTTGGGATTTTTTGGATTGGGGTACTCAACTTGTATACCCTAAGATTTGCAGAAAGAGTGGAAAATGAATTCATTTAGTATCTGCTCGATACATACATCCAATTTCAATCTAAACATTTAAATTTCAGCACTTGTTTTTCAGAAATGTTGCAATGGGTCGGGCTCGGTGGCTCAGCCTGTAATCCCAGCACTTTGGGAGGTGAGTGGATTGCCTGAGCCTGCAGGTTCGAGACCAGCCTGGGCAACTTGGCGAGACCTCGTCTCTACAATAAAAAAATTAGCCATGTGTGGTAGTGCACGTCTGCAGTTCCAGCTATTTGGAAGGCTGAGGCGGAAGGATTGCCAGAACCCAGCAGGTTGATGCTGGGGTGGTTATGAGTATGCCATGGCACTGCAGCCTGGGTGATAGAGTGAGCAACTCAAAAAAAAAAAAGAAAACGAAATGTGTTGAAATGTCTTTTAGTATTGATAAGTGAAGTTACCACAATACATCAGCTAAAGCTGTGGGAGTATTATTGGAAATTGTGGAGATGAGGTCTCGCTGCCCAGGTGGGTCTCCAACCCGCAGGCTCAGGCAATCCACTCACCTCAGCCTCCCAAAGGCGCGGGATTACAGGCTGAGCCACCGAGCCTGGCCACATCTGTCTTTATCACTTTTTTCTATTACATCGTGCTGTATGCCTATCTTGAAAAGGTTCATGGCAGTTAGTAAAGATAATAAAAGTTGATCACAGTAGTTTTTACTTTTGACTTCAGCTTGTGCTTAAGACTTGTATTTTTGTAAAAACCTGCATATTTTCACAATGTTGGGACTTCATGTATGAAAAATGATGTTATGTTTTTCATGTTTAGATTCAGTTTCTCAGTTCCTTATGAGTTCATGTTTAGGCTCCACTAATTTTGCCAACCTAAAGTGGCCCAAGTATCCAGAGGGATTCACTATAGTATGTGGCCCAGGAGCTTTGCTTTATGTGGCCACATGCATCACTGAGTAAGGTACAGTATAAAGAAGGAGTGTGAATACGGGCAAGGACCATATAGATAAGACCAAAAGAACTCAGAAAGCTGTACACTGGCTTTTACAATGGAGCAGAAATAGAGGGAGAAACGGTGAAAGGGACATGTGTTGAGTCGCTTGGAGTATTTCTTAAATCAGGAAGGACGCTCTCTACTCTTAATAGGAGGGCACTGGTGAAATGAGAGTGATCTTTCTTCAGATTTTCCCACTCACTGTATCACTGAGGATTATTATAAGCACCATAATCTCTTTAAGGTCTTTGTTTATTATTTGTAAGATTTTTTTGAAGATTTCCTACTCAAGGATTTAAAAACTGAGGATTCCCTGTATCTCACTTTGCTGCAAGAGGTCTTTAAAATGACAGGCTGGGCGCGGTGGCTCAAGCCTATAATCCCAGCACTTTGGGAGGCCAAGGCGAGAGGATTGCCTAAGCCTGCAGGTTCGAGACCAGGCTGGGCAACATGGTGAGACCTCGTCAAAAAATTAACTGGGCATAGTAACGCGTGCCTGTAGTTCTGGCTACTTGGAAGGCTGAGGTGGAAGGCTTGCTGGTGCCCAGCAGGTCAAGGCTGTGGTGGCCATGAGCTTGCCCCTGCATGCCAGTCTGGGCAACAGAGTAAGACTCCAATTAAAAAAAAAATTAAAAAAATAAAGTGATGATCTTTGAATTGAAGCAATAAATATGTTTTTTTCTTAAAGTTAAAATAAAGCAGTCAAATATAGAAGCATTTGGACTTAAAAATTTGCTGACATATTTTATTTGATAAAATAAGGTTATTTATAATTAGAGTAGCATTAACAATATGATGCTTATGAATAGCTTGCTGCTTGTAATTGTTAAATGCTTGTTTTGGTGTTACTCCAAATAGTTGTTCTCTTGACTTGAAGATAAAACAATTCTGGCATTGAACTAAAGGAGTTCTTTGCTTTTCCTCATTAAGAATAGTGCTAATGGCACGCAGAGCATTTCCCTAAGGGATACTTGTGTGCGCTCAGACGTTGAATATCCTAATAACTGAACAACAACAAAACGTTCTGTCTGTTTTCTACACATTTCTTATCAGAGTAGGTTACAGATTGTCCCAAGGGATGGTTAAACAAATGAACGAATAATTAGCTGCTTGAAATAAGTTACTTAAAATTTTTTTGCCTTTTTTTTCTCATTGAAAACTTAACAGTTGGAGGGAAATGGTCCTTCGTCTCAAAGAAAAAAATTTTCTTTTAGTTTAGTTTATATCACTGACAATGATAAAAAAATTGTCATTTTTTGAGACATTTTGATGTACAAAGCTAAGTTCATACCCTAAATAGCATATTAATTTTTTTATCAAAAAATGTGAATGATATAAGGTTAAATGAGTATTTTGGGCCATTTAGAGATTATTTTTTAAGCAGTTTTTTATATTCATTTTTGTAGTACTTCTAAATCATAGATACTATTTTTTGTAACTTCACAAGTAGGGAAGTTGAGATTGACAGAGGTTATACCTAAGGTCATAAAGTAGTAAGTGGTACCATTGGTTCCTTCCCATATGGATTTAATTTACTTATTGACTTTGCAGCCTAACCCCTGGTTAAGGCTTTATCTTGCTTACCCACAAACATTAAGTTTTTCCTTATAAACCCATGACACATTGTTGCTCTTTTTTCAAAGCACTTATTATCATCTAACATAATGATGTAATCTCCTTCCGTATGTATTGTCTCTCTTTTCCTTTTTTTTTTTTTTTTTCCTGGCATCAGGTGATCTTTCTCCCTCAGCCTTCCAAGTAGCTGGAACTACAGGCACATGCCACCATGCCTGGCTAATTTTTTGATTTATTGTAGAGATGAGGTCTCACCAAGTTGCCCAGGCTGGTCTCAAACCTATGGGCACAGGCAATCCTTTCACCTCAGCCTCCCAAAGTACTGGAATTATAGGCAGGAGCCACCGTACCTGGCCTGTTTTTCAGTTTATGTATCCCAAACACTTAATAGTTGGTTCATAAATGCTGAAAGAATGAAGAACAGAATTATTTTCTAAAGGCTTTACTTTTTTGTTCTACTGTATTCTTTATCTGATAATTTGCTTCAGAAGTTTTTATTTTACTACTTTTTGCTTTTTTCACAAGAAAACATGTTTTCAGAAATTGTTCCTTAGACATACTAGCAGGAATAGGATCATTATTAACATTTAGGGAAATCTGATGCTTATTATATCATTACAGAGAAATTTTAAATAGGTTTGGCATATTAGCAGAATGGGAAAGGCTCTCTGGAAAAACGCACTAGTGTGTGAATCTTTCAGTCTTTGAAATAACTTTAGGAAGAACTTAGTGAATGGAAAGATATAACTAAAAATTGTATGTTTATGGGTGAGATTAAGAATGAAGTGCCAGATTTGTTGGTTAGTTAAAGTAAAGCTAAGTAGAGA